AAAGCAAGAGCAAGAAAAGATCAAAAGAAAACAAGGTGAAGCTCATTTTTAATAAATCTTAATGAACTTTGTTTCTTTATCTTCAAAATAAAATTAAATTACCAGACAAGGAAAAGAAATATATAAAAATAAAACTAAGATTATCAGACAAGGACAAGAAAGAAAAAAGTTTAGTTTTTATCATCTCTTACTTTTCCCATATTTTCTTTCTTTCCATTTTTTATAAAAGCCCAAAGGATGAGCATGGATGCGTTTTTTTTTTTTTTCTTTTACTTTTGTAATTGTACTGTACGTACCTGGTTAATCCAAAACAGGGGATGTTGAGCACAACTTTCAAGTTGGTTGTTTCTGCGTGCTGTATTGGTGCATGGAAATGTTGAAGCAAATAGCTGCACTTCGTCACATTCGCAGACATACATTCTTTTCAATGATGGCCACTCTATGATATGCATTTGAGAGAAGAAACCCTTGAATTTCTGCAGGTCGCAAAGTTCCAAGTATTTTAGTTGAGGAAATACAAGCTTAGTGGCTTCTGTGTGCTCCAAAGTTGATTTGATGACTGGCACTACTTGTGATCCACTAGCATTGAGTCCTTGAGTTTCAGATCTTTCTTCTAATTGAGAATTACTATTGGAGCAAAATCTGATGAGCCGGGATAGGTTTGAGAGCACTAGGGTCTCTAGTTTGGGGAACATTGTCTGGCACATCCTTTCTTCCTCTTCTTCCTCCAATCCTTCCATCAATATTACCACTTCCATCGCCTTACATCCATAAATCTCCAGTTTTTCAAGCTGTGTAAAAACTTTAACCATGGAGGATGTGAATAAATATCTCAAATTGTCACAATCAGTCACCATAAGCTCTCTTAGATTTTGAGCAAATGAAGGTACCGATGTAAGTTCACAGTGCCATATTTGTTGTATCTTAATTGAAGACAACATCAGCTGCCCCAGCGCAGGAATCTCAACCTGTAAAGAAGCTCCAATTTCATTAAACTTTTAATCTTAAAAGAAAAGTATACAAATGACTTGGAAGTATGGACATTTTCATGCAGTTATGAGTTCTATAAATATTTCGATGAATTACACCAATTTTTTTTTTTTTTGGGAAAGGGAATTTCTGATGCAGGGCTTTTTGCTCTTAATGCTGTAGCAACTGCTACCTTGAAATTGCTTCGATATAATAGAAAATTTTAATTAATTGGACAAAATTTAATATATATAATCCACAGAATAAATGTAAATGTATTTTTGGGCCAAAAAAATGCAATTTTTTTTCTTCCAAAAAAAGGATAAATGCAAATGCATTCTATATATAGCCTTTCTTATCGATGTGCATCAGATAGGCATCAAATGCATTTATATCCATAAACTTATGGAAATGACATAAACTCATGGAAATGTAAGAAACAATTAGTGAAATATTGTAAAACTAACAATAAAGCCTAAAAGAACAAGAAAACTAACCTTGCAGCTAAAAAAGTATTGATGAGATGTCTCTTTTTCATGCTCTCCAGACGATGTAGAAGCAGCGAACGTAACCATCCTTTGGCATTCTTTTATAGAAAATATTTGTAAACTTGGAATCTCAAGACTATGACTTCCCACATAGAAACTTATCAAATTTGAACAAGACTCTAGCTCAATTCTCCAAAGTAGTTGGAGTATCATCTTACTTTCTTCTCCATCTCCCATTATCACTTGCTCCATCATAGCACAGTTCTTTATGCTTATAAATTTGAGTCGCACAAGGCAAAATACCATGGAAGGGGTTAACAAGTATGAGAGCTGGGCACAATTATAGAGCTGTAGATATTTAAGCAATCTGAAATCCAAAATTTCTTGGGGCCTCCTCCTAACATGCCATATTTCAATCAATTCAGGAAAGTCTGACAGTATCAAGTCCTCTAACCCAGCAAATCCAACCTACCAAGTGTAATGCAAAACATGCTAGATACATTAAACACAATAATTGAAAAATAAAATAAAAAAATAAAACCAAAACAATATGTAGCTTCAAATATTTGTAAATCAATTCATACCTTTTCTGTGTGCATTTTTTGTATTGTGGTATTTAAGTCACCTGCCCAAAGCGACTTATCCTCTCCTTCAATTAATTCCACTCTCTGCAATAGCGGTGTGTGTAAGTCTCCCTCACTGAAGATCTTCAATTTGGGGCATTGATCCACAGTTACCATTT